CACACACACACGCACACAGACACTGAGTCACCGTCACATTATGAACCCTTCATTTACTTTACCGCACACATGTGACACATTGTCAGTAAAAAAAAGCAACAACAAAGGTGTGTGAATAGAAAAGGAGCCTGCACTTGAGATGTAAAATGAGGGGAGAGGTCAGATTTTGCTTTATGAGATGTAGGCTGTGGCTCTTTTAGACACTGCTCAGCTGAAGTGTGTGCGTCTGCACGTGGGGGTGTTTGTGTGTCTGGTAACTGTGGTAAGTGATACTATCTGCAGACTCATCTGGTACACTCTCTGTGTGCTGTGTCGTTGTACCTCTTGACACTCTTTTGTATCTTTTGTGGTTGTTGTTTACAAGGGGTCGTACAGCCTCATCATTCAACAACCAGAACTAAAGAACAACAGCCAGACATTTTTAGCTTAAATAAAGTGTCCATTACTGTATATAAGGAAAATACTGTATATTACTGTGGACACATTCCAACATGCAGGGAGCTACAGTGATGTTTATGTGATTTTTAATTAGTTATTTTGAGTTTTTTCTTGACATATGGTGAGAATATCAAAAGCATAACATTGATACCACTATAACTAAAACTAATTTCATAGTAAATTAATTTTATGATTATTAGATTTAATTCAGTTTCCAGTCTCCAAACTGTCTAAAACAATCACAGCCGCTACCGGAGTACAGGAGCCGCTCAAATCTCTTATTTTGTCTGACCAACAGTGAAAGAACGTGAAAGTATATAAGTATGAGTAAAGTATATAAAAGTATTTGAATTAGAAGCTGTGTATGAAAAGGACAAAAGCAAGCAAATCGTCATACGTTAAAAATTTTAACCATCAAATGTTCTGGGGTTTTAGTTAATAAATGACTCAAATTACCACTTCATTCATTCATTGCTAATTTAATTAAATTGACTGTTTGAGTGGTTTTAAAGAAAATGTTTAGACAACCGTTTAACCATATCGAGATGAATCAAGTAGTTATGTAAAAGATGTGGCGTACCTGTGAAATGGGTTAGACTATCGTCGTAGGGTTGCATTTGCGCTCATCTCAAAAAATCAACAAAGTGATGGCTTGATACTATTATGGGACATTTTCAGAATGTAGCAGTAGTGGTAGTTTTCTGGTCTGTGTTGTAGCTCTCTGCCCAGCTCGAGTACATTATGCACATGTACGTGGTGAAACACACCAGCAGTATGGTGGTGGCAGCAGAGTGAGAAGCACATGAATGTCTGTAAAATTTATGCTCACTTAGGTGTTTAAATGCATCAGTGAAGCAACACTAAAGCCTTGACTCATTCAGACCGCACCACACACAGTGGCCACTGTACAGTCTAACGAATAGCAACAAGACATGAGTGGGATAGTTCAGATTCTGTCACTGTTAACTGGCAACTTAATCTCATTAATCTATGTGATGCTTCAACCGATAGGACTGACTGTATGTTCACACTGGATATTGTATTCACTCCTAATAACGTAGGTCTCTTTATTGAATCTTTAATGTTCCTTAATCCATCAGTTATGGATGACTTGATAAAACAAGCATCAGATAGTCCTCAGTTTTAGTGATTTTGAAGCTTTGTCTTTGAACTCACAGAGCCTTCGCTGTGTTTTCAAAGCTGTGAGAAAGGAAACTATTCTTTTTTTATTCTATCGGCCCCTTGATGCCTGAGGCCCAAATTAGCCCAAGATTTTCACACAAGCTCTTATAGAATGACTCGATTCATACTGTGTAGCTCAGCAGTCATACTTAATCAGTCTAACGGCTTTCCCTGTAGCCCGGGATGGAAAGTATTTACGTCAGAATTAGAAAGTAGTCAAAGTGTTGAAAACAACCGAAATGAAAGTACATTAAGGAAGTAAAGGACCTTTTTGCAGAGTAACCTGAGTCAGATGTACATATATACGTATACTACGTTACATATGATAACTGCAAAACAGCCAATGTGGCATCTTGACTATAACCTTGTAACATAAGCGACCCCACTGAGAAAAAAAGCTCACATAATGTTGGTTGTTTTATCAGTGTAAAGAGGGTCTAAATATGTCAAAACAATTGCAAAAGCAGTAGAGAACCTCATTAAAAAAAGCTACTAAGTAACAACAATATGTGTATTTTTTATTAGTTTCCACTCCTTCCTCCAGTCCTCACTTGCCTGCCTCAGAAGGCCCCTTCCTCTGCTTCAGCCTAAAAGAACACAATAGGCCCAATCTAGAGCCAGTGTTTGGTTTGTCTGTTCTTGGCTACTGTAGGCACATGTTCAACACAGGTTCAACATAGCGGACTCCATGGAAGGCAACTGTTGATAAAAACATCTCATTCTAAGGAAACAAAAACACAACGATTCATATTTTCAGGTGATTATACACTAATGAAAACAAACCTGCCACTATTATAATCCATTTCCGCCAATATATCTTCCTAATTGTTACACACTGGGGCCTTTAACCTAAAATGAGTGGTAGAAGCTGCTTTACAGTACTTTTCTGTTCTTATATAAGGTACAAATGAATAAATATGGCATGCGTGCTGTGCATTTTATAGCCAGTGTTCCATAAATGGAAAACAATTTTCCAGATTTTGAATGACTTACATTTTAGAAAATAAGCAAGTGTTTGTCAGTCTAGGCATTATATAATATATTATATAATACGTGATATCAATGATGATTGGAATTGTTTGGTTTTTAACTTAGGTTCATGAATTTCACAGACAGAGTGGATCGATATTTGGATGGTTGCTGCCATTAATGTTGCACTCAGGAAAGTGTGATAAACTCATTAATTAAGGAAACAAAAACAAATAACCCACACACCCCGCACTCCTCTACACCCTCTCCTCTCCTCATGTCCTCCTCTCTGTCTTTAGCGTCTCACACTGATCAGTTTTTCTATCCCTGTAGTCTATTCTTATATAAGAGTAGGTGGGAGAATACCTCACTCCCTCCTACTGGACTTAATGTGGTGCCAGTCAAATCCCACTCTCGGCACCTTTTAAGTAATTTTTATCAGAAGAACTGGCAAAGGAATATTACATAAGATCAGCTGATGGCAGTCTGTCTCTGAAACCTATCTCACTCTCAGAGACGCACAAGAGCATGCGTGTTGTAAAACACACACTGTTGCTCACAGTCTGCTGTGTACATATCCATGCAGATGCACACCAACAGTACACACACCCACACATGTACAAACACAGACGCACTTAAGTCCATTACATAATGCTATAGGTTCTTTTTGCTCACTGTTTTCTCATGGCATCACTGCAGATGGTTTGCTCTGTCCACTGCACTGTTGGAAAAACAGATAATAAACTAAATGTCTCAGTTTTGCATGAGGGCACACACACACAGATATAGAACACTATACTCCCAGTTGTGTTCTCGATAGACGACAGTGACTCATCCGCACATCAACAGTGTGTTTATGGAGTGGGTGAGAATTGAAATGCCAGTTGCTGTTCATTTAGTGTATAATTGCTATCTGCAGTATCCGAGAGGCAGCAGTGCTGCTTAAAAAATGTTATACTGTCAAGTGCGAAACAGAGAACAGCTTCTACTCTGATGGAATGATTAATATTAAACCTCCACGCTGGTCTCCAGTTACCAATACCTCTCTGTTTACTCTCCTCTTGCAGTCTGGCTTTAGCTCTGTAATGCTCCCTGCATGTCTATGCAAATCCTCCTTGTCGTTGTCTGTGCCAACATACTGTTGCTGCCGTCTCCCTGACCTGCTGAGTCAGCTCTATTTCAGCCTGTTATGCCTTTCACCTTTCTCACTGTTCCACTCACATCCCATCTCTCCCTCTTTCCTCCCAGGAGGAGAACTTGGATTGGTTCCCCCGTATGAGAGCCATGTCTCTGGTGAGCAGCGAGGGAGACAACGAGCAGAATGAGATGCGCTCTCTGCAGGAGAAACTGGACAGCACTGTCACTCTGGTGGCTCAGCTGTCAGGCCAGCTGGCTGAGCTCAAGGAACAGGTAGAGTGGCACTTATGAGAGTTTTTCATGCTGTGGTGGGTGAGCTGAGCTCTGGTAGTCTGAATTTAATGCCTGATGAATAATCAAAATCAAAATCCTCCTTTTTAAAGTATATATCATAGTGACATCTTATTTAGATGCTTGCTGTTTAGTCAGCTGTAGCACATGGGCTGTAAACTCCACGTGCTTTCTGACTTTGAGAGTCCTTTCACCTTAAAACACCTGCAGGGGGGCAAGAGGTCACAAGGGTTGTCAGCAGCCTTCTTCTAGCTATCTGTCTCTGTACTGAGATGAATTCTATCAGACCCTGGATGCTCCAGAATGCAGCACGACAGGTGACTATCACGTCAGTAATCAACGCGACTGAGAGCCGCCAGTGAGCCTCTGGCTGTTTGGATGACTAGCTCTGCTGCTGCAGTGTGACTGATCACTCTCATCACCTGCCTCCCCTGCATGTGATTCCAGTCACAGGCCTGTCCTTGTTCCTCTTCTGCCAGATGTGTGAAAACAGCTCCTACTGGGGGAGGATCGCACTCTAATAAACAAAACAACAACCTCTGTCGACCTGAGTAAACAGTTAAGTCTGTAACATCTCCCTGCTGGCCGGGATCCCTCGTGTAACCCCTGTGACTACAAAGTTTGTGCGATGTTGAAGTGCCCTTGAGCAAGACAGAAGCCTCATCTCTGTAGTCTGTAGTTTTGGGAAACTGCAGGCTATTTATTATTCGAATCTAGATTTACAGCAGTCTGTAATGACTAATTTGAAGTCATGGGGTTAGTAAGGATGTCATTCCACCTTTATGATGAACACAAATTTTTGTGTACACCGCAAGAGGTGAGTGTGTTTATGCAGGTCAAACCACAGGTCTGCAGTCACAAGAGGAGGCCTGCAGGTCTCACACTGTTTCTGACTAAGGAGAAAGTTCTCCTGCAGCTCCTCCCTCATTACAACCTCTGCTGACCTCGGCACTTTACACTATCACAGCTGAGATTGTTTGTGTGTGAATGTGTGTGTGTGTGCGCGCGTGCCACTGATATTTGTTTGTGTGGGTTTTAGGGTTCTGCACAGCATACTTGATTTCCTTTCATCTGCATGTACAATTTATGGTTAATAGAGCCAGTGGCCTTCCTTTATGTCGTCAACACTGAAAAGCACTGAAAATGTGTCTGATGTGAGAAACCAACACCGTCTGATTCATGAACCACGACCCCACACACACTAATACACCATCCACAGTTCCGCACAACACATGGCAGCGTCCTCTAATGACGTTTCCAAGGGGAGGTTTAGTTTCAAGTCATAACATCGGTTGAACAAAGCGATTTGCATACAAAATATAAAGTAAATAGGAAAATTCTCACAAAGTAATTGTTTGCAGTGTTTGAAGTGACTAATGTCAGAAGTCTTTTTGTGCCATTCAGTATTTTTGTCACAGCTAATCCAGATTAATTTCCTAACATAATGAGCCAAAGATTCATTTTGTTTCGTCTAAATAAATTTACTTGCTCTTAGAGTAGAGATTTAGAGCATAATTTTACCTGCACTCCAACTTCAGATAGATTAGATAGAACGTTCAGTTTTGCATAACAAGTGCCCACTAGAACAATAATGTATGCTACATGCTAAATTAAAAGCCACTCCAGGTTGATCAGTTTTCCTCTCCGTCTCTTTCCACAGATGACAGAACAGAGGAAGAACAAGCAGAGGCTTGGATTTCTGGGTCCTCCTCAGCCCAACCATCACATCCCTGCCCACTGAGGGGCTCAAGGCTCAAAGAGACCCCAGTCTAAGCAGGCTCGCAGTAGAAACCAGATAGACGTCCAGACACACACAAAAACTCCTGCCTTAAGAACAATACATGTACCCAGAGTACACTTACAATTGCTGATGTCAATATGCAAGAGGCCAGCAAGTGTAGACGCATCATTTTTGAGATAGTGCCTTCTGTGTGACACAAGCACTGCCTTATGGGATACAAACTGTGCCTTATGTGCTCACTCGGTCACTAGGAGCATGGTTTACTGGCCGCATCTACACACCCTCGTACAGAGGAACTTGTCTCTGAGAATAATTGGCCAGGCACAGCACACATCTGCCCGTGTAGTGTCAGGGAAATGTTAAGGTGAGGTTAATCGTTAAGTTCAGTCAAGTCTGTGGACGACTACGTCTAGACCTTCATTCCTCAACTGTGCAGATGTGTCAGAGCGGACCGACTGGCTGCACAGAGGTCAGTGATTGACAGCGAACAGAGACGTTTTTTTTTTCAATCTTGCATCACCGATTGGCCTCGAGGGAAAGAACATTAAGAATTCTCCCTTTTACCTTTTAGAGTTCTGATGGTATTTATAAGAAAATGTGCGGTTCATAACTGGAGTATTATTTTTTGCATTTTGTAAAAGGAATCATGCTGCCTTACTCTTTAACTTTTATAAACAGTACATTGCAATTGCTGAAAGTGCACTTTTAAAAAGGGTAAATAATTTAAGCCTATAACTGAAAACATTGATTAGTTTGGGGTATTATTTTTGGTATAAGTTTTATGTTTAAAAAAATGCATTCACTGCACCATTTCAGTTTCCTTTTTACAGATTTCTACAGAGTATATACGTAACAGAAATGTGAATAAAAATAATAATTACCCATGCAGAACTTACTTGAAATTTCTTTTAAGTCTAAATCTTATATTGGTACATAATGTAGTCTCGACTGGAGATGGTAAGCTTACAGTTCTTTGTTACAATATGAACATCCTCGTGTCTGTAGAGATGTCAGCTAATACTGTAATATTTACTGTATCTGCTCATATCATCTTTGTGTTCTACTGTCTTTTAAAGTTCTTAGTGTAAATCATCCTCACTAGTCTCTTTTGGACTGCAACTGATTAAGTCTGAACTTGTGTTTTAAACTTGCACAAAATAATGGCAGATTATGAGTGCATGCACTTGATGGTAGCTGTCCTGTGACACTTTCTGTTAAAACAAAGTGTATAGTAAAATGTCTTTTATGTGGTTGGCTATTGTAATAAATTTGTGACGTAAAGACTCCTTGCTGTGCTTTGAGTCCCTTCTAGTAATGTTTGCCTCAGTCCTTGTAGCTGTTGGATGAATGAGCATTCTGACCCCCTTTGCACCCAACCACCCACCCACCCACTCAGTATTTACTCACACTCGTACTCGTCCATGAAGGGAGCACAGGACCTATGAAAAGACAGGGTCATATTTCAGCTCATAGAGCAGAAGCAGTCATCTAATATTAAAAGTAAAGTTAACATATACACTGTAGGCCCGCTGTGGCTGTGCTGCTTTAGTTTATCTCATCTTGACATTTAATTGCAGCTAATTAATAGCTGATATAATGCACATAGACTAGACCAGACTCTGGAATGTAACCTTTGTTCTTACATCAGTGTACGTCATGAGTCTGATGCTCTTTTTAAAATGTAAATAAGTAAATCAATAATGAGTTTAAATAAGTTTTCTGGAACAGTAATTCCAGATAAATGGAAGAAATAGCTAAAAGTTATGAAGAAAAGCTTCAAACTTACACAGACTTAAACTGTTTTTCCAATGGTGCAAAAAAAAAAACCATATAAACATTAATCTGATCATGATTACGATTTGGTGTGTGTGGATGAATGTGCTGATATGTAAATGCTGATGTGTGCATGTATATTAAGGGTTTTTCTGTCTGGTGATTGTTCTATTTGTACCTGCCCAGGTACTCATTTTGAGATGAATGTTTTTGTGCATGGTCCTTGTTTAATAAAGACTAATTTAAAATAAAAAAGCTAAAGATGATTAATGGTTGTAGCTAAAAGTAATGAATAAACAGTTAAAATACTTAGCAATGGGTAGTTAAATAACTTCTGCCACTACAAGTAATCTTGGCACCAATACAAACTTAACCAAACTGACCGAAACACTGACAGTTCAATTGTATGTAGCTGAGCAATACCCACTTCACTAAATAACATTTCATTTTAAAAATAATTTCAAATAAACACATTTGAAACATGTCGAGTGTTGTAGATGGAGGGGTTCTTTAGTTAGCGCTGTGGGTGTACATTTGACAGAAAACCTGAGAACTACTGTTATGGAAGACGTAAAAAAGAAATCTTAAGTTACTACCATGTCTACTAAAAAGGCTGTGCTTTGTGATGCAATGTATTTATTCATAAAGAAATTAAATGCATTTATCGGTGGCCTGTCATCCATGCATCCATTCACATTTTGCACTCTATGAAAATTGATAATTCAAAGCTGTGGCTGGTTGATTGTCTGTATGTTTGTGCTTGTGTAACATATTTGAGATGATAAACGAATCACAGAAAGGCCTCAACTGGTCTTTTATCCCGTTCTGTCATTTACCCTCCGCAGAGAAGCCCATCCTTCTTGGCTTCAGTTCGCTGTTTACGCTGGCAGGCCTGCATTTTCTCCTGCTGCCTGTGACAGCCATTAAAATTAGCTCACGCAGTGCCATAATGGTGAGCAGCTGTCACTGCGTAGACAAGAAGGGTAAAGTGCAACATTACTGGAATGTATTGGACTCAGAGAGGGAAGGGAGGGGAGAGGATAATACCAGGACCATCATTACTGTCTGGCAAAAGTCTTAATGCCATAGTGTGATACCAGACAAACATGCACTGCTTCAGTCTGCATCACTTCCTAAACAGCTGAGATTTTGATCATGGAGAAAAAACATTCAACTTCTGTGTCCACTTCCCAAAAAAAAAACCTTTTTAAATGACTTGGGGGAGGAATCAGCCCAGAATAATACACAAGAAGGTCAGCTTCATTTCATCCTCTCGTTACACAGAGAACCTTTTAAATGCATGTGGGCTGTTTATTATTTACTTTATGAACACAACCTTAAACACATTTGAATCACAGTCACCTCTTTGCAAACCACAGTCAAGAGTCACGTGCTTAGCCTCTGTGTATTCAGTAGTGAGAAAACACCCAGAGAAGGTCAATAAATACAAGGCAATGTCCCAAACACCTCTGTGGCTGGAAGCAGTGCTTTACCCAGTGTGAGTGAGTCGATGCACTGAAAGGACCAGACCATAAGGATCTCTCTTAGGAACATTCGTTTAGCTTTAAATTATTATTTAACTGAATATAAACTGTAAAATTAATATTATTAGCTGCATAATTAAAACACTGGTTGAGAGTTCGGTCTGTTGTTTTCAAGTTGCTGTGAAAGTTGTTGTGATTTGTGTCAATACACATATTGATCTTCTGTCTTCTGCAGTCTCCTCTACAGACTCACAGCAGCGTCAGAGTGGCCTCCAGAATCAAATATTATTCAGTGTTTTTTTGCTTTGAAAGATCAATTGACCACACAGAAAGTTGCGGAGGGTGGAAGGTCCCTCCTCACTATCATTTTTATAAATAAACATGCCCCTGTGATGACTGGCATGTGACTTCCTGTGTCTGACTGCGAGATTGAGCCTTTGTAGTCACATGATGCAACATCATAACACTGAGCGAGCAAACGGAAAAATACTGCAAACGGGCATGCCCTCCATCACATGTAGATGCAGTATGTACAGTGTAAGCTTCCACAGTGTGTGAAATGCACCATTAATCTAAATGGATAAATCATTCCCATAATGACGCACTGCTTCTTTTAATATCCTGGTGTTTCCCTGCTTTGATTGTTATCCAACTGAGCTCCATCGTCACCTAAAAAAAGTGACAATGTTTCCTTGAAAAGAAAATGATAAAGTTTTCAAATGTGTTGCCATGACAGATACTGGGGTTACCTAATCACTTTAGGCAGTTAACTTGTCTGACTTAACAGTTATGATCAAAGTAAATCACAACCTGACTCAGACGGAGGCGACTTTGTCTCTTGCTAACGTTACATATTAGTCATGCATTGCCTTACTTTGAGAACTATATAGTTGTTAATTTTAATGATGTGCTGGCCTCATGTTTAGGTATATTGCATTTTATGCAGCAAAAACATGGTTGGAGGATGCCGTTAGAGATGCTCACTGATTATCTTTCTGCTCAGTTTTCCTTCTTTACTAACAATAATGCAATTAAACCCAAAAGCAAATCCATCCATTTGAACATGAGTGACATTTTGAGTCTAAATTTGCTCTGTCTGTATATTAAGTGCAGATGTGATAAAACAGGAAAAAGGAAACTGCAGATAACTGAAACAAAGATTTGTATTTGTAACCACAAACAGTCTTGAAGAGCAAATGCATGTTTGCATCTTTTTTTTCCTCAAACAACATATTTAAGGCTTATGTGAAAATTTCCATCATTGACAAAATAGATGTAACATTGCACACTAATTACACTCTCCCTCTGGGCACATGCTTCATCTAATTTGCTATGGAAACTGCTTCATGTTTACCATTCCCTGTCGGCACCTGAGATGAAAGTATAGGAATAAAATAAAGCTGCACCCCTGCACAGGCTAAGGCAAAGGAAAACACAAACCTAAAATTTTGTGGTTGTTTGGTGCATTTTGCTCTGTCCTGCCTGAAGGACAACAACTGTTGTGACATGTTGTAAACAGAGTGAGATGAAGATGAAGTCCAGCTGCCTGTCTGAGTCCCCCTTGCCTCGCCCCGGCCCCTTTCCCCTCCCTTTGTGGCTGCTGTAGTTTGACTCCTACAGGCTGTTTGAGTCATGCTGGCTACTGGCCTGGCATCCACCTTCACAAGCCACAGCCCAGTTTTGTCTGGATCCAGTCTCATGAAGTGCACTCTGCCCAGATTGTGTTACTGCTGTCAGGATTTGTTTTTAGTGCTCATAACTGTACTGTTTAAAGTATTGCAGGGTAACTTCTATGAGCTGAAAAGCAATTTGATTTTGTTTTTCATCAAGGATTGTGTGCCATATTTACAGAGCTGCATATGTTTATAAAGAAACAAAACAGAGGTTATTTATGGAATTAATCCACCTTTTTTGTGTAGCAAAAACAATGTGACAATCAGTTACAGCAGGAAGCTACAAACATAGAGTTAAAAACTCCAATAAAATGTTATTTTCTGATTGAAAAGCAATAAACTGATTAAGAATTTGTTAAAGGACCAGTGTGTAGGATTTAGTGGCATCTAGAGGTGAAGTTTCAGATTGCGACTAACTGAATACCACTGGTATTTGACTACCTGGAAATGAGAACAGGCTGTGAAGTGTATAAAAGAAACTACGGTGGCTGTGAAAGGCCCTGTCTGCAGCCAGTGTTTGGTTTGTCCGTTGTGGGCTACTGTAGAAACATTGTGGTTCAACATGGCGGCCTCCATGGAAGCCGACCTGCGGCATCTATAGATAAAAAATGTCTCAATCTAACATAACGATTCCTATAATGAAAACATACCTATGGATATTTTATTCAATTTCTGCAAATAGATCTTCCTAAATGCAACAAACTGGACCTTTAACTTTTCATTAACTTAAAATTAAAAAGAATGTCTAATATTTGCCACTGCATTTCAACAATATTTGACCTTTATAAGGTTTACTGGAGCTAGAGGCAGTGTCATTTAACATTTTCTAACCATTTGACAACAAAGTGATTCAGTGTTCCACCTAAAGCATCACTGGAGCACCTAATTATGATCATTAGATTATTAAATAACTCAAACCAAAGGGCATTTTGCAAGACCATGGACATTTTTGGAGTTAAGTGCATAATAATTGAGCTATTTTGGTTTTACCATTGTGCTTATAATTTGTACTGCAACTGCATGTGAGCTGTATGTCACAAGAGCAAATGTCAAGATAATTAGAAACACTGAAAATGTGTTATTGTGGACAAGAAAGAATTGGTTTAGTTTTTTTTTTTTTTGAGAAATAGACACTTGTTTTGGCTCCTCTTCATCTATTTAGTTATTTTATAACATTGGACACTGAAAGTACAAAGTTACTTATAAGGTATACAAAATGTATGCAAAAAGCCATTGTGGTCTGAGGTTAATAAAAACTGACATCAAAGAAAACACACTTAGCCCGCCCCCCAAGTCCAGAGTGTAATCACACGGGCATCCCGTCCTCATCTGAAGGATCCTCCCATCAACTCTTTCATCATCATCATCATCATCATCACATTAAACCTTCAGCCACTGCTTGGGGGAGGGAGAACCAATCTGAAGACCAGCAAAAAAGACCTGGTAACGGTGCTTCCACATGATGAAGGCACCGACGGCACAGACGAGTGCTTGGGCCAGGTTCAGCACGATCTGGAGCAGGAAGTAGAGTGTGAGGGTCCCGGTGATCACCTCACAGTCGCTGACTCCTTCATAGGTGAAGGTGCGGGCTATTGGGTCATTCAGATCCAGTGTGCACACGCAGTCCTCTCCCACCTGCTCACAGCTGAAGCTACTGGCCTGTGAGTAGTGGTGTCCAGCGAATGCAATGACCAGCACTGAAATGACCAGGCCGATTGTACACAGGACAAAGTACAGGAGCTGTAGGGGGCAGAGGACAAGTGAGAGGTCATGCACTTTTACCTTGAAAGCTTTGATCAGACCAACCTGTTCTCATCTCCAACTCTTTGTGTTTCTGGTACTTTAAGTCTGGCTCCTGCTTTTGTCTGTTGTCTCATGATTAACCCAGAGTGCCAGAACTGTAGCTTAGAAACAGACATGCTGGCTCAGTGCCTATGGAAGGTTAAAGAGATTACCCATGATGCTACAGGGAAAGGACTGACCCTCAAAGTAGGAGCACAGCTCTTAGCACAGATGAGACACAGCACATGCAAGACTGCCCTGCAGCTACAGCCGCTTCCCACCTTTAGTGCACGTCCTTATGTGAGTATGTCGAACAACAGAGAGTGCCTAAAAATACAGTTGTGACAGAGGCTTTGTGTTGTTTATGCAATTGCACGATCTCAATAACACTAAACCTTCATCTTAATCCATCAGTTATATAACAGGAGCCCTCATTCGCTGGCGTATTTTGATCTCAGTTACATGCTACTTATGGAATTATGCAAGTGATGAGTGGTGCTTGATTTAAAAAGGCATTTATGTTAATTTTGGAGCAGCTGTGAAGTGTGGAGTATGGTTGGTTACGGGAGAAATGTACATACAGCAAGTGCATAAACAAGTACTTGCTTGAACATGATGCACTTCACTAAATGTTGATGATCTGAAGCCCCAAAGCAGATAGAAACGGCAAGGAGTCAACATTCATATTATTGTTGTCCATGTGGTGTCCTGGAACATTTTTTAAGTGAACACTTACAAACTCAAAGAACCAATATTTGAGAAACTGAGTGTCTTGACAGAATAGATTATTATTTGAAAGGGTTATCAGAGAGCCAGGACCTTCATCTGACAACATAGTAACACTGGGCTTCAGAAATGTCTCCTCTCGCAGCACATTTTCTACTCACACAACTTCTGGCCGCCTTGAGCCAAGAGCAATTGAAATGAATAAATGAGCCGACCGTAAAGACATAAATTCTTTAGCTAATAATGAATATAGTAAGGCCACAAGATCATTGAGCTGTTTGAATTAATGACATTAATAAATTAAAGAAGATTTCCGCTGTTCTGGCACACACATTATTAATTGATTTTAAAGGAGGACTTTATTTGGCTTTTCCTTTGAATCAACAGTATTTATGGATGAGAAAGTGTTTAAACACTGAGGAATTAAAATTAAAGAAAGAAAGAAATTAATTTAAGAATTTTTAACATACAGAACTCAAAACTTATTTAGTTGATTTATTTACTGCAGTACGACAGAACAACAGTCCTATTTCAACAAGAAAGAAATATGCATCGTTTTGATAACAACTTGTTAAAAGACCATTTAATATTTCCATAGTCTACTTTGTAAACATTGTATATTAAGATGTAAATAAAAAGAAATCACTGTAATTTTGGTGATTCAGACTCAGACTGCCGATTCAGAGACACAATACAGACATGCATGGAATTGGCTTTTTATCATGCCTTTCTGCAAAGACCATTTAGCAAATTAGCTGCACTTCTTAAGGCAAAATACTATTGAAGTGTTTTGACACATTCTCTCTACACAGCGTATGTACATATTTGATTCTGGTATGCACACACGAGCCAGAAAAAAAAAAGAAAAGAAGATGCTGCTACCAAGGACCTGCTTCTCAGCTGCAAACAATGGTGGTGGTGATTTTAAGATTTTAATTGCCTTGAAATTCCAACTGCATATATTGTAAGCCTAATTAAGCCAAGTCACATTAATGAATGCACTCATCCACTCATAGGAATCCCCACAGAGCTCTTTTAAACAGGAATGCAGTTAAATGCCTCTCTGTGTGCCATTTACAGTTACAGTTCCCCAAGAACAGCCATCTAACAATTACAGCATCTCAGTGAGTAAAACATTGTTCTCTGCAAAGGTCTTCTCTGTCTGGAAAATACACTGACCCATCTGATCATACCATACTTCTGCTGCAGCTACAATTCTACTACATGCATTTGGTCATTTTCAGAGGCATGTTGTGCGTTATAAAGGAATCTGATTTGACTCCATACATGACAAACAGATTTGTTCACTTTAACTTCTGCCAACAATGTCAGCATGTGTGAAGACTCACCTTGCCAATGAATTGCATAGACGTTCTCTCATCAGGGAGGTAGGTGACACAGTACAGGATAAAGCCCACGATGGAAACTAAACACAGCTGCAACAATACATCAGAAAAGTATTTGACATTCACTCATATCAGGACTATGAAAATGTCAACATGATCCTCATTTTGTAGTCTTTTTAGTATCACAAAGAATGCAATCTAGCCATGCACTTGTGTTATCACATTTGTACTTTGTTGCTATTACATAGTATATGTGAGAAAGTATAGAAACAGGAGTCTTTTCTAGAAGATATTCTGAGTCCAGGTTTTCAGGGGTGTGTCTTAATATTGCATGATTCAGCAGTAAGCTGTTATCTGATTACATTATTATCTTTCCCTCTCTCTCACACGGACACGCTCACACTCGATCTCTTCAGTGCAATTGGAGTCTTGTGACTAACATGCAGCATCTTATTGAAATGTTTTTCCCAGGTTCTTAAGCGCTCAGGATTCTCTGGAAAAGTCTTGATGACCTCAGTGTTTTTCTCTCGGATGAATCTCGTGAGGCTCTGACTCGGGATGTTGGTTTCCAGGGATGTTTTCGAGAGCAGATGGTGTCTGTGATAGGCTAGGATAGGATCCAAACAGGAACAACACGCTTTTATTCAATCACCAAAATGTGACCTTAAATCTTACTCCAAATTAGGATGATAAGGAACATTTTTTTTTTGTTGTTTTATATTACAGATTTCACAGAGACAATCACAGATTCATAGATTAATTATTTACTTATATAAAAAAACCCTGCAAAATACCATTTAACAGTCTTATTAACTTACACTTTAACTGACACTTTAGCATGTTACATGTGAACTGTCAACACACGTGATATACCAGTTAACTGGATTTTAAATGTTACTCTCTGACTCTTCAAAGTAAACTTCAAGTGCCAGATTTTTTAACTTCAACTAACGTTTCAACTCCCTCTCGCTCCTCAACTGTGAGTTTAACTACACTCAGTGGTTACCTGTCACCCGACAACTTAACTTCCTTCCTTTCAATGGTAACAGTTCAACTGATTTCAACTGCTTTCAGCTCTTTATGCTTACATGTCAACTGACATTTCAGATGCTTTTGAAACTGACAGCTTTCGAGGGCTAAAACTGAAATTTCATATGCTTTCGGTGCTTACAGTTACAACTGATTTCAACTCTAACACTAACTTCCATATAATGTTTCACAGGCTTTGAGTGGTTAAATTGAAGTAAAAGTAGTTTAACTGATCAAATGATTTTAACTACAACAAACTGCAACTTCCATTTCAAGTCACTTAAGACAATTTAATGTTCTTTAGATCTGGTAACTGGTAAGTTTTGAAATTACACAAATGATTACACACATAAACCTGATAAAAGTATACAGTTTATCTGTATATCCATGTATACTCAAATTTAAACTCTTGAATGAAATGTGTATGTGTGTGTGCTTCATTTTTAAGGCAGATGATAATGATGACGAGGTGTAAGCAGGTACAGTATGCATGCATGCACATTTTCAAATAATACCAAGGTATTTAGATGCTACTCAGACGTTCAAAGGTCAAGCTAGAGTATAGCATGCTGTGGCTGGCTTGTCTCATCAGGCCAGATGTTGAGGATTTGTTGGACAGACAACAAAAACAACAGAAGGTGCGAGCAGGCCTGAGTGACTGAGACGGATTGGAAATTCAGGTGTACACATGTGACAGATGGAGATTTATTAGAACATAACAATACCAGTGATTTTCCATGCCTGCAGTGACCGTCTGGCTGAGACAGGTGGGTAAGGGACAGTGCTGACATGCAGTGTGGTGAAGATGGACAACGCATATTGCTGGGATGTAGCAGAGGGTCATGCAGAAGTACCAGAAATGAGAGACTCAGGGTCCATGCAAACATGTGAATGTAGTGGCTGATGTAAGAGCGTAAGGATGGAGCTTACAATGATCCCAGCCCAGTGTGGCGTCTCCCTGGCCAGGAGTGAGGGGCTGATGGCCAACATAAGGAAGGCCACAGCTGTGACGGCCACCCCCAAAAGCAGCTGGAGCAAGGCGACGAGCAGAGGGAAGCGACAGACTCTGCACTTATGGCCGTCCTCTGGCGCTGGGCTTTCATCTCTCTTCTTCTTGCCCTCCTTCTTGTCTGAGGAACCTTTCTGCCCCTGTCCCATTTCTCCTGCTTTCTTTGCACTCTCTGTACTCTCGACTTTTACTGTTGCAGTGTTTGGGGTGGATGAGCCTGTCTGCCGTCTGCCTCGCTCCCCTTCCCTTCCCCTCCCTGCCAAGGCCTCCTCTCACCATAAGCCCTGCTCGGCTGCTATTTGGAAACAGAGAAGGCTCTGAACTAATATGGAAAACATTTGGACTGGATTCCTAAAGCGGCTCCAGTGCCACATATAGAGCAGGCAGCATACTGTGGAGGAAAGGAAGAGGAGGGAAAGGGGGGGGGAGACACAAAGGGGGATTCCAACATACGACTGTGAGATGATTTCACTTATCGTTACATTTAAGACAAGAAAGGGAAACTACAGAGGCAAATCAGCAGGTATGAGTTAATGAAAAGCCAGCACAGAGGAGGTCACATTTCATTTGAGAGCAGGAGTGATTGGATCGTTCTTTGTCAGCACTGTTACACAAGAGAGCCATATGCTGCCAGCCAAAGAGTCACATGACTTACAGGAAGAAGTAATGTGATCATAAGGCATGTGAGGGCATTACAGGGGCTCAGATTTTTACTGTTTTGGAGCATTTTAATGTTCACAAGAGGGGAACAGGTGTCACTGACGATCAGATTAACTTCCTGGAGTCATTTATAAAACTTCTGTAAATACTTGGAAATACATGGAAAATTCTGGATCATGCTCACTCTTATCACGAGTAAATATGGCAATAACATCACAAACTGAGTGACTCATTTTAGGGAAACTTAATCATTCTTTGGATATTAATTGTTTTAAGAGATCAGACAAATTAAAAAAAAAAAAAAAGTCAGTCATAAAACCTCATTAAGCAATTATCCCTCCAATCTTTGTCACATCACTGGTAATATTTCATTATTACCCAAAGACACTCGGGGGGTGAAGGTGGAAGAGCAGCACTCTGACATTAATAAAGAACCGCGATGCACGTGTTTGGGCACACAGCTGGGCCGGTGCCATGGTTACTGACAACGCAGCTTTGAACGACTGGAGGTGCATGAATAGGTTACCGTGCCCTGCTCTGGACCACAACACGGAGTGACAGACGCGCACGGCACACACCTTGAATATTTTGAAAGTGGTCCCACGCACTCAGTATTTACTTCACATTAACGGAACATATTTGTATTTAAATGGAGGAACAGCAGGAAAAACGGCATTTTAAAAGGAGCATTTAGGACCTGTGGATTTCTGTCTAATTATTTATCACATTAGATGTCACAGCCTATCACTTATCACCCGGGCTCGAGTTGCGAAGTTTAGGGGAAAAACCCCATTATCAGATGCTCCACCCGTTAGTAAACTGATGCTTTGTTTTGCCTCGTCCTCTTCACGCTGTGCGCCTTTTCCTCTGCTAAATTTTGCGCATGAATGACGTTTCAACAACCAGGTCGAAAGTGTTTGCACTACATCGCTATAGGAACAGCGGCGCTGGCTGCTATATCACAGAGAAGGTCTAATTACCGGACTTTGTGCTGGTGCAGGCTACACGTGAGTCGGAAGCTGTTCCCTACCGGAGGCGCGCGTGCGCTCTAACCACAGCACCGACGGCTTTGCGAAGTGGCAGCAGCTCAGGGAACTATAGACATCAGTGTGAATCGCAGCTCCACTGGAGGACACGCACTGTGCATCATCTCCCTCAGCCGTCCGTCTGCGGGTCGTGGAATAACTAACGTTTCCCCCGAAGAAGCTCAGGAGCGGATCACCAGCAAGCAAACAGCAGCAAGCAAGCAAGCAAGCAAGCAAGCAGAGAAGTGATGGATGAAAGAATACCGCATTTGCAGGACAGGCAGTTCATGGAGCACGCAGATTTCTTGGGGTGAGTGTCGCTTTTGGCAAACTCTGTCAAACTCTGTCTAATAAACTGTCGTGACGACCTGGTGAATAACCGGACACTTTCCTCTGTACTTTAGGGTGGATTACCCCTCTCTCTACATGTGCAAGTCCAAAAGAGGAATAAAACGAGAGGATGGTGGGAAGGTGCGCGTGGTTTTCTTATACTAAATCTAAATATGTTGTTTGTTGTTGTCACTAACCAACCTGTGTGCTCATGAAACTCAACAGAATTCACATGTATAGTAAACTCACTTTAAAAAACCCCATATATATTTGTGTTTTAATACAGTACTCGCTTGTATTTTTGCCAGCAGGACGCATACAAGTTACCACACCGGTTGATAGAGAAGAAGAGGAGAGACAGAATCAACGAATGTATCGGGCAGCTGAAGGATTTGTTACCCGAACATCTGAAGCTATCGGTGAGATCATGACACTACGAAAAGTTTTTACGTGTTCGGCGAACCTGGTTTTACATGACAGAGATCCCGCGAACGGCCAACTGAACCTTTGTTTTTTTCTCCATAGACGCTCGGACACTTGGAGAAAGCAGTTGTCCTGGAGTTAACACTGAAACATTTAAACGCGCTGACTGCTGTCACTGAACAACAGCACCAAAAGATCATTGCTTTGCAGAATGGTAAGATGAACAAACTTGATCATTTACAGTGAACATTCGGCATTATTAGACTGCTTGGATTGTATGAAACTTTATTAATCCCTATATGGAGAAAATCTTTGTTGTTCATGAATAGAACAGATACATGTACATGTGTTGAGATAATGCGCATTTTGAGAATATAACAGAATAATAAAACGTGCTGTTGAGACGCGTCCGTTTTTATTCTGAACACAGAATACTGATCTAATCATCTTTAAACTTCATTTTTCTTCAGGGGACAGGTCGATGAAATCTTCTATTCATGCAGATCTGGATGCGTTCCACTCCGGGTTCCAGGCCTGTGCCAAAGAGGTCCTGCAGTACCTGAGTCAGTTTGAGAACTGGACAACACGAGAGCAGAGGTGCGCGCAGCTCATCAACCACCTTCACAAGGTGCTGGCGCAGTTCCAGCCTGGCGCGCCGCCGCTCCAGCACCAGCTACCCGCCGGGGACGCACAGGATGGGCAGAAAGCCGACAGCCAAGCAAACTGTGTCCCGGTCATCCAGAGGACCCAAGGCGGGGAGCTTAACGAGAATGACACAGACACGGACAGTGGATACGGGGGCGAGGCTGAAAAGAGCGACGGCAAAGATAAAGAATGTGAGCGCAATAAGGCGCAGGGACACAAAGCAGTGAAGATCAAGCAAGAGTTTGGAGATGATCGCGCTGCCAAAAAACCAAAGATGAACTGGCCTGGGAGCGGGTTAGGGGGCACAGACCCCACCAGACCCGATCTGGCGTTAATGAACTCTCTGATGGGAATAAGCAGTGTGGGACAGCAGACACCTATTTGCATGCCTTTCTACTTCATCAACCCCTCGGCCGCGGCGTCCTATATGCCTTTTTTCGATAAAGGCAACGTTGAAAAGTACATGTACCCGGCGGCGGCGGCGGCGGCGGCTCTAGCCTCCCCTTTCCCCTGGCTATACCCGGCACATGCGTCAGCGGCGGCGGCCGCGGCGGCTGCAGCCGCGTTCCCCGGGTTGTCTGCGCACTTCGGAGCGTCTTCCCAGTCCAAGGACTCCCACAGTCCAGACAGCGACGAGTCACACGAGGCTGAGGCAGGCTCACCTGAGGAGCGCGAGGAAAGTCCCGCGAGTGACGACGGGGAGGGTGACGTTGCTGACACGTTCCAGGAGAGCAAGAATAGCCCACGTGATCAGTTTTCCGCCTGTCAAACGAGCTAATTTGTCTGTATTACCTTTCCGTGCATTCTAAGGAGTTTATGTATGTCATTTTTTAATTAGGCGAGTTTTAAAAACGAGGTTTCACAGAGGAGTTTCTCATGTACAATATCTTGGCGAAACAGGGGACAGTTGTGACGGCGTGTGCCTTTTGCACTTATGCTAGATTAATCAATCAAAATGGTTATCGACAATGATTGACATTAATACACGGCGGTGTTGTGCTGGAGTTAGTTTTTTATCCTCTTTGATAAAATATTTTGAAATGGCAGCATTGGTGCCAAAACTTTGAGTACTACAACAGTACGCAATATCCCAATCAGCGAGTCGCTTTGGATGTATGAAGTTGCAACTGACCTCTGCCATGGTTATAAAGAGCCTGGCTTGACTGTAAATATTATTACCTGGAAGACAGTCTGATTCATGAACATGTAAATGTGCACTAAACGGGCCTATAAAAGAAGTGCTCCTGGAAGTGTAACGCCCTCTGTACCTCATCCCCATCTTTGCATGGGGTAGGCTGATTGGGAGGCACATTACTGTCCCTCCTGAGAAGAAGTGACTGGTACCCCCCCCCCCAACACACCTATCTCCATCATGAACAACAAATACAAAAAAAAAAAAATCAGCTACTTTAACATTACACTTTGATATTAATGAAATTATGGGAGAGGCATTATGCCTGATTGCCCTCAACTAATTTTTGGAGAGTTTACTTTGGTTTCTTGTTACTTGTTTTTCAATGTGAGGAAAGAAAAAAACAATCACTGAGATCATTCAGAATAATGGAGAGAAAAAACCCTTCATTCAGAAGGGGGTGCTTGACCAGCATATTGTACGTTCCCCTGAATGAAGCATTTCAGCACAGAGATGCAGTGACCTCCTGTACCTCCAGGAAACATTGTAGGATAGCACCTTATAGATCTTTGATATTGAATGTACCTGTATTTTCCCAGCTGTTAAAGTTTGTATAGGATGATCTTTACTCTTTGAGACGTAAAGTGCACTTTTTTCTGCTTTTACTCCCTCCCCAAGTCACCTCATCACTTAAGTCTATCACTGTAATTCTCTTTGAACCTTTTTATTGTGTTGTCTTAAAAACAGACTCCATTTCAAAAGTGAGAACAGAGACACCACATGCTTTGTGATGATTTCATGCAGTAAAGTGGTGATTAAGTAGTTTGCCCGATTTAACAAAACACAGCTTATTTCTAGCTCTTTCAGGACAAAATGATTCAAATCATAATCAGATTTGAAAACCTCACACCATGCCATACTATCCCCGATTCTGTGTTATATGCTATCATTATGTAAAACCTTGCTTTTCAAATATTTGACAAAAGTTGAGGAAGAAGCTGTGGTCATGTCACCATCAGTTATCATCATTACCATTTTAGGAACTTTAACTTTATCTTGGCCTGTTTTTTAAGAGATTAATTCCTGCAAGTGTAGTGTTGTTTAGCTTTTTTAAGTTTCACATGTGACTGAATAAAGAGATGACTTCATTGTATTTTGCATACATTACATTGCTTTTGTAGTTTTCTTCAGCTGGTTTTGCCTCAAATCTGTTATCAACTGTTATATAAAGTGGCATGTGCATCTGTAAATAGTTTTTTGTGAATATACCATAAAGTATACATGTCTATGTCAATGTTGTAGAAGTCTATGGATTTTTTTAAAAATTTAACTGAGCAACTGTTGCACATTTCGTTAATGCTTTACACATATGCTGTTCTAAATTATTGCTGATGAGTTGTAAAATAAATATCAAAACTAAACTCTGCAGGCTTCTTCTTATACAACAAGCTGTGTTCCAGCAAATGAACACATATTTAGGTCATGGGGAAACAACACACACTGTAAGACACCAAGATATGTGCGTACATGTTCAGAGTACAGTAGTACTAATAACAATACTGGAAGTCCAGTAGATGAAGTGTATTGTTACTAAGACTCTAATCAGCTGACATGTCACAGCAGAGGAATGTACAGTAAGCCAAGGATTTAAACAAATGTCATGTGATAAAAGGATGATGAAGTGAGATTACCCTCAGTCTGTACAGGCTGATGAAAAACAAGGGGCCTCCTCCCAACTTGTCGAAATCTTTAAGCGGGATCAAATCCAGTCTTTGTTGTTACCATTAACTGGCTTAGAGCAATATTATTTTAATCTTTATGAATAATTTCATCAGTCTTGAAACTCAAACAGTGTGTGACTTTACGTTTTCCAGTGATCCTCGCAACAACAAAGTCCAATTACTGCCAATTTACGGTATATGCCTCTCAAGGTTAACACAGATCATGCATGTTGCCATTAGGTGTAGCCCTTTTTCAGCAAAGTCATAGTGTAGTGTAGTGATGGACCAAAGCTCCCATTTGCACCAACAGTCTTTACAACTTTACTTTTTCTTTCTCAACTCAAATTACAGGATTCTGTCAGTAACTTAATCCACCAGTGAGAGCAACTTGAAAGCTTGAGAAAAAAAACGTTTCCTTTATTTTACCAAATACCATCCTCTAATAAACCTCCTATAAAGGCAAATAACATTAGCCATTAATAGCTAACGTTTCTTCATTTCCTTCTTCTGTGGGAAAAAAAGTGTTTTTTCCTTTATTCGCTCCCAGCCATGTTTTGTCCATCTTTCTACCATTAGTAAGTAAAGGTCTCCATCTACTGGTGAAAACATTTACAACACATACTGTACAATACAGTACAATCTCCCTCTTGTTTACACCCACAGGCCAACAGTTACAAACAGTTACCAGGATCACCAGTTGTGACACATCAAATTTTGTCTGATGGTTTATTGAATCATGCAATCCATGTCATATCAGCAGCCAGTTACAGCCATACGTCTGTCAACACTTTGCAGTATATTAAGGCATAAAAATAAAAATAAAAACAGGTTATGTACAGTCGACATCTTACAGTTCTCTAGAACATATATGGTTGTAAACAGTGACCACAGCTACATCTCATCCCAGGGTGGAAAATGCAAAGTGGTTTCTTAAAGGGAAAATCCACCCCAATATATAGACTATCATCGATGACCTGAAACCCTAAGAGTTTTTTAACAGGTCTCTCCTTTAACTGGCAAGCAGAGAGACACACACTGTAGCGCTGATGTGTTTTGTTGTGTTTTTGTAGATACTGTATCATACAGGGTGGACTTTCCTTCTGTATTACATCAACTATTTATTCTGGCATGACAGTACTGATATAAACTGGTGACTATGGTATGTGTTGCATGATGAAATAAATCAGATTACATGTCAATGCATTGTACAGCTCATATTATTATGGCAACAATAATACAGTAGCAAAGTGGAAAATACTATCAATAATGTTCTTTCCACTGACATTTCAGCAAAATACCGACAGATAAAACATAATTATAGTTTCCTCTTTGTTGCTGCACTATTGGCATTTCTCTCTGTGCAGAAATGTGGCACTAATACATCTAGCGACATTTGATCATTGCTTTGATGTCTCTACTACAGCTTCACTGTAAATTATTTTATATACACCAACTGTGGAATGAATATAAGGCACTTTGATGTGATTAGCAGCTGAACTACAACCTATGAGGGCTTCTGACTCTGCACACACACACACACACACACTTCTCTTTAATCACTGACTCACGCACTTTAGCTGTAGCTATCCATTGTATTATTACATGCCACCATTTTTAGACTCAACTAAGTGATTTACTATACTGTGGGTGCTCTTCACATCCAGATATGGCTATATCAACGACACAATCATGCAAAAAGACCTGCTAATCTTTGGCCACCGATCCTTACAGAAAACAAGCATAATACATTTGGCAAAAATATACTGTCATCTTAACATAAAAAAAAGAATACAAAAGAAAAATCAGCTTAAGAGGATAGTAACACTGTTTCATTATGCAGACATTACTGCGGGAATGAGGGCACTCCATTGTGTAACTGTGAATGCACAGCTTTGTAATAAAATATAATAATTCACTAAATAAAGCTGTAAAGTAAGAAAACATATTTACAATAAGCCATCATTTTGGTACGTACAGACAGTAACATTCTTCAGTAACAAAACTATTAACCATTTGTGCATAGTTTTAACATGAACAGAGAGTCAGAGCTACAGGAATAAATTCTGATATGCAACATGATAGATTCTAGACAGTTTGACTATAGACACAAGTGGATCCTTCATTAATTATATAAGAACCAGTCATTATGCTGGGTAAAATGTATTCATTGCAGAAATTACATACGAGTTTAGAGATATAGTTCGTAGATTCACATACTAAGATTCTCAAGAATACTGTTCAAAAGGCCATAGTTTTGAATCATAATGCTAGTGAGAAACAATATAAATCATTCAGCAGGTAATAAAGTGAGAGTAAAAGTACATTAAGTGGATATGTTTATAAAAGAAGTCCACAACAGCTTGATGTTTAGAAAGTCCTAATATGAGACTGTGCACCATGACGCATGGTGCTGCTGCCGTGGGTTTTTTCTTCAGGCCATCGCTTATAACCATCTTTCATCCATGAAGTGCTCCATGACTTCCATTTAAAGATCATCACCATTCCTTCTGTTTGAGTTGTCACACTCAAGGTTGCCTTCATCTTATTGAGACAACAGTGCATAGTAGTGTGCTACTGAGGTATCCTGTACAAAGATATCCACTTACAAATGTGTTCATGGGTGAAATGGGCTCTGGAAGGGAGACATAACGTGTTCCCTCTAAGCAGAATTGTCTCACACATAGATTCCCTCTGGGTTTAGGCCAGAACTGAGAGGGTTTTGGAGGACCCGGAGGTGAGTGGACGAGTGCGACGACACGGGACGCTTCAGGGAGCCAGACAGGGGAACTAAATCTGAGAATGAAAACACACAAAAGAAAGAAAATTAGGAACATAATCTAAATCAGTAGTTCCCAACCACTAGGCATTGCCAAAGCTTCGTGGGGGGTCGCGATGCCTTCTTGATTTTAAAATGTGTTAGAAAACGTTACAAATATACACAGTAGGCCTATATCTCAGCATTTCGTTATTTTCTGTGACTATGAAATTGTTATTTTTTTTTATTCTTTGAAAAAAATTATTAGATCTAAATATTTAAGACCTGAACACAAGCTATAATCACAGAGCCTACACTTGACTAAACAGCCTCATCTTGCATGACCAAAGTATGCAGTTAAATAACCAAAGAGGTAATAGAACAATGACCAAGTGTCAGGGACAAAAAAAAACCCCACTGAATTTGAATTTGAAGCCCATTAAGTATGTATGATTGTTAAAAAATACATAATATAGCCAGATAATTGTATAAAAAGATCTCTAAAATCTAATCTCTGATGTAATCACAGGAAATAATCCAAATCCATCCAACTTGCTCGTTTTACACAAACCTGCAGTTAATTGTACAGTTTATCAGTTGTTTTGTACTGTTATTGTTATTCACTGAATGTAATATGACATATCCACAAAATATGTCACTTAGTGAAGGGTTGTCACTTTATTTAAAGATAGAAAAGGCGCCCTTAATGAAAAACAAACAAACATTGGAACCCCTGATCAAAATAAAAGGGCATTTTAGGTAGGGTGCTTTCATAAAATTACCTAATACCTAAAAAAATACAAAAAAAAAAATACAGGGCTTTGTTTATGCAACATGATATCTTCTGCTCTGGGGCCACCAGGGGGCAGTACTGAGTCATGCAGAGAATCTGCCAATGCAGTGAAATTTTTGGCCAGGCACAAAAGTGCTTGCTGATTTTTCACACAGGAACAGGAAGGTTACAAGAAGGACATGTACACTCAGTTCATTACTTTACATAGTTACCATTGAGTGCAATAAAGAGAGTCACAACTCTAAACAGTGCAATGATGAAGTACATTTCATGCAAACAGAAAAAATTAAAGCTCATAGGTGTAAAATGTGAGGTGTTGCCCATCATTGTTACTGCGTCCACTTGCTTCTCAATATGCCTGTCTATGCTACATTACAATGTGTACATTTACTAGGAGACTAGGTTAAACCTTTGTTTTATGTTGGATTTCAAACATGAAATAAAAATCATAAAAATTAATGAGTTTAAGGCAGTGAGCATACCAAAATTATTCATAGGTGTCTTTAAAAATAGAGGTTTAACTGAATGTTTATGCTTGTGCCTTTGGATTTATATCATATATTCATTTCTGTGCTTGCAGGCTTATCTCTTTTAAGTTTGTACATTTCAGTTTCTGCCATTAAACTTTGTTTTGCAAGTTGGAAGTCTAGCTCTTTGCTTCCAAGCTTTATTTTGTAAGCTGGAGGTTATGTACCCGATTACAGCACATAATGTAGTGTCTAGTCTCACCTCAAACTTCCTGAAAGTCAATCCTAATGACTATATGTCACTAATTTACGTTTAGGGGTAGGCATGAATCGGTTATGCTTAAGGGGTAAGGGGCTGGGTTAGGCTTACCATAATGAATGTAATCAATGGAATGTCCTAACAAGCATAGCTATGCAAACACTGTGTGTGTACAAGGGATTGTACTAGAGAAACTGGGGAGTGGTGAGTACAGTATTAGTTTTTACCCATTTCATTGGCAACTTTAGTCTCCATGCCAACAGCTGCCTGGATACTGGGAGACCTGGCATCATTCAATCACCCCACTTTCTCTGTCTATCCATCACACTGCCCCTCTATCACATGCTCAGCAGTTTCTGTGATGGCGTTATTGGACCAAAGCTCCGTCACCCTACAGGAGACTAGCAGAGAGCTGAATAATGGGAGGGCTGTCAGACAGAGGCTATCCACGTCAACAATCGGCCAGCTGGTTATGAAAAACCTACAGTAACGTAACCGGGACCTCAGAAATGATGTTTTGCTGCATTATGACCAGTGTTTGGTCCCCATGAGTACTGGTCCCGACAAGGTCAGTGTTTATACCAGCAAAAGTCCCCAATAGCTAACAAAGATGTACACACACACACACACACACACACACACTAAGCTGAGTCATTTTCTCACAGCAGGGTGTTAAGACATGAGGTAGAAAAATAATAAGTGCCCTGATGGAACAGAATGACTTTACTAAAGCAAGGGCAGGCTCAAAGACAAACTAGCCAGTGTGAATGGCAATCAAAAAGCCACATTTATCCTTCAACAGCATGCACTATGACATATAATTAAGTTATAATAACTGTATTGGGTCAGACTAGTTGAGATCAATTAGACTTACCTGACCCCTATGTCCCTGGCTAGCCTACATACTGTACCTACAAGGTCAGTTCCCTATTTAACAGAAGGAGATATCTGGGCATACATAATACTATATGTTGCTGTACTCTTATATGCAGAGTGGTTTGATTTGTCCTGTGGAGTTAAATCTTTAAGATAATATCTTGAAAGTAAAAGGTGAACCCATTTTAGTATGTTTATAACAAAATGATATTACCTATACCGGGACTGTTGTGAGTACTTTCATCCTCAGTGGGTTCAGCCGGCAGTACTGTGACCTTGGTGCCGGTCTGCTTGATGAACTGCTGCAGGTTAACCTGCCTCAGCTCCTTGGTCAGCTGCTCCAGCTCATGCTGCATGTCCTTCAATGAAACAGCAAGAGAGAGTGATTCTTCAGCAAACATTAGCATTAACAGCAGCTTGAAATTGACTGACACCTTCCGGTTATGGATCATATAATATGTGTTTGAGTATTTTGATGTCCAAACACCAGCAATATTACTTTAATCTCCAGGTCAACCTTATTATCTAACAGGAGAACACATGAACATGATCATATATCATTTTGTCTAACCACCTCTCAAAGTGAGACACAGATTAACTACTCAAAGCTGACCATGTCCCACACTATTTGTCACACCTCATTTCATATCCAACACATCAGACACACATACCTGAAAATGATGAGCATTATTTACTACTAAAAGAGTACTCCACTGATTTAGCATCATATTTCTATAACTTTGTCAAACTGACGATGGAAAAAAACTGATCAAAGTCTTTTTTATTGCTTCAGGGTTCAATGTTTTCATTTTTTTTGTGCGAAAAAAAAAAAAAGATTTGTTAGAAATCTACATGATAAACTAGCCCTAAGTGGTAGTTTTCCTCCCCCGGGCAATCAGGCATTGTCTTATTGTTGAGCTCTTTCCATAAATTGTTATGCTAGTAGTGGCTTATGTAGCCTCAAGCAGAGACGAGGAGGATAGGAGGCTATGGAGGTCTGGTAAGCTCACTTGTTTCTAAATCAACACCCCCAGATTTTTACTTGTAGTCTTCAGACCCGACCAACTAACTCAAATGACATCACTTGAGGCAATTGACATATTAGGTTTTGAACAGCTCCCTCTGGAGTCACAAAGGGCATATACAACTTTTTTCACATATGCAATAGTAATTCATGTGATGGAATTTTCCTTCTTTAAGGGTAATATCACGCAGGGTTTCCTCAGGTGAAGTTAGGGTCATGTGGAGCGGTCACAGCCTCTGCCTCTTCCAAGGCAATAAGTTAAACTCTGTGCCTCCTCTCTGACTATTTGTAGATCTTGTGGGTCTAGGTTTGAGTTAAATATCACCCAACAAAAGGCCACCTTCAGAACTGGATTGACATCTAACAGTGACTTGTGCTGCAGATCTTTATTCTCCTCAATTGAGCTTCAATAAATACTGCTGTGCAAGTCTTCAGTGTCTCCTGAGAGCTTCTTCAGTTACGAGTGAATCATCTATTACAAGAACTCCTTCACACTCCCCAAGTCCTGTAAACAGACTTTGATGTGTAAAAAAAACAAATAGGTGGAGTTCCCCTTTAAACTGGCAGGGATTCAGCACCATGCTGAGGGACGATTCAGGTATACGTATGCTTTAATGCATTCTTACTGATCGATGGTCTACCTCATCACTACATCACCCTACAGCACTATTTTTTTAGGAAACTCAGGGCAATGAAAAATAAGTATGCTCACCTGCAGCTTCTTGCTGCTTTGTCCAAGTGACCTGTCCACCGCTCTGCAACTGCTCTCCAGCTGGACAGCCTGTCTCTCCTGGGCTTTCAGTTCTGCTTTGACCCTGAGGACCTGAGCCCGAGCCTCTGCCTCAGTGACCCACTGGGTCTCCTGCCGCTCCCTCTGCAGCCGCTCCTCTTCCAGGCCTGCCTCTACACTCTGAAAGGAAGGAGACAAACCAGTAATAGCTAAACAACAATGATGAAAAAAAAAAACTGACTATGGCATTCTTATTCTTTGATTATGATTATTTTACTTTGATCTTTTCCCAAAACGTATTACTATTAAAATATTTAATTATTTAATTTAAATTTTATATCCCGAAAATCTCCCACACATAGCACACCTGTACCATTGCCAGCTTTTCTTCTATGTCCAGTTCACAGCCTTGCAGGCGTCCTCGTAGCTCCTGCAGTCTTTCCTCCAGCTGTCTCTCACTCTCTATCTCAATCTGCAGCTCAGTGGCCCAAAACTCCTCCTCCTCCATCTCCACCTCATTCTTCCTCAGATGCTTCTCCAGCCTCAGGATCTCCTCTATCAGCCCTCCTCCTCCACCTGGGTCCCCAATGAACCCTCCACCTCGCCCCCCTCGCCCTTCAGCCCAGACCTGCAGCTCAGCCTCATAGGCCTCCAGCTTTTTCTCCAGCACATTGAGGGTCTCTCTCTGCAGACCGACCAATCTGACCAAATCTTCCATGCGACAGGCCCAGATGCCAGGCGACGCAGTCCCAATGGCTGGTCCTGCATGGTGGTGATTTCCACCGTTTCCCAGGAGGAGTCTTCGTTTGGCCTCAGCCTCGCCAATTCGTCCTCCGCTCAGTATCTCCCTAAGGCCTCTGGGTGCACCGGTGAACGTGAGAGACTTGCGGCGCGGTTCACGACGGCGGAGGGAGCGATCGTTGGGATGACGAAGCTTTGCAAGGGGCGGGAGGCTCTGTCGATGCAGTCCACGTTCAGGCCCCCTGAGAGGGGGTCCTTCTGAGGGTGGTCGTTCAGTCAGGGAGGGGCCGGTGCGATGCAGGATCAGCTGGACGTCACCAGCATACTGGCCCCAGGTGTTCAGAGAAGCCACAGGGCTCTCATGAGGGGCCAGGTGACGCTCTGTGTCCCGCCATTTTTCTACCAGAGTGTATCTCCCAGTACGACCTGCAAACACCAACACACTTATTAGCATCCTGTTGGAGTCACGTTTATGGCCAACTAACAATTAAAAAGTTAAAATTTCCATCAGCTTGTATGAGTGTGGTTTCTGAAAACAGCTCACCGTGGTTCTATAAGCGAGATGAGACCCTTAAGTCTAAACCATACTGTAAATACGAGGGCTGGAAAACAAACAGTCAGCTAAAAGAGGCTACACTGCATAGATCTGCAGTGTTGGGTGTTTCTAAGTGGGTTCGGCACTACAAGTAACCCTTTCACATTACATTAGATTTAATGTTTAAAAGAAATCAATTGCTTACTGCTGTTTAGAGAGAACTTAGACATAACACTTGTAGTATTATGTAGAAAAACACTAAAATGCCAAAGTACTAAATCAATATTCATGTCTGATCACTTAAAGTGGTGTATATGTTTTTAATAGAAAGAAAAAAGGCGGAAGAAGGGGCTAAGAAGTGCTGCTTTCTCAGTTTGGCAGGAGACTGAGGGATGAGTCAGACGTTCCTCCTCCTACCCTGCGCTTTGTGGGAAGTGATGTCAATACAGTCTGTTCGAGTGCCCCCGTTCCTGAAGGAGCCATATGGTGCTTAGATCCAAGAAAGTACCAGTAAAAGCCTGACTATGACCTACTACATCTCAGCAGGAGCTTAACATGTAGGCAGGTGACTCATATACTTACTTCATAAGGACTTCTTTTCAGGTAACAAAAGGCAATTTGGCCTTTTTTGGAGCCATATACTCATTGATTATAGTTGTGGGTTGAAGTATTATAGTGTATTATAAAAGGGTTAACATTAGCACACAAGAACTACGCTTGGCCTTTCACTGGTTTAAATGACAACAGCCTGGATTGTCTGCACCCTTTTCAATTCAAATCAATTTTATTTGTA